CAAGCCACTCAACATCATCTCCTCCCTGGGCTGCAAACTGACAAACCTTTAATTCTCTGGAATAAAAGGGCTTTACAGAATTAACATGATACACTTTAGGCTTTAGGTTTGACGTGGGGGATGCTATGAGATAGTTAACAGCTCCCAGATGCTCTGGGCTCACAACCCAGAGCAGGCAGAGGGCATTAGAGATGCTGGCAGGTCTGAGAAGACAGGAGGCCTCCCCTCCTACTCCATCCCCCTGGGGTCTGTATCCAGAGCAAACCCCAACCTCAGCGCACGGCTCCTGTTGCAGGTACAGCGGAGAGCGCTCAGCCACCAACATGGCCATCATTGAGGCCAAGCTGCCGTCCGGCTACACCCCCGTCAAGAGCTCCGTGAGGCAGGTGAGCTTCCCAGGGAGGAGAACACGCCGGGCCAGTCACAGCGTGAAACGAGGGGCTGATCCATGGGGGAGAGCCCAGACCCCCAGGAGAACACAGATTGCAGCTCTGACCCCCAGGGGGAGCTCCCCCTGCAGAGCCCTGCCCCCTGCAGCGGGTCACTGTGCAGCCCTGGGTCTCCCATCCAGTCACTGAGCAGGTCCTGACCCTGCTTAGCTCCCCCAGAAGAGGACGCCCATGTCTAGACTCTCGCCCCTCCCCCAGCAGACACCCAGTGCACAGCTGTGACTGACGTGGAGGGTGGCAGCCAGGCCCCTCGGCAACAGGGGCATTTGGTGCCCCATGTCCCAGCCCCCATCAGAGCAGACACTCCTGCCCCAGCCCCTCCGTTCCTGGCTCAGCCGTTTCCTCCCTCTGCTCCTAGCTGGAGAAGCAGCGTTCGGTGAAGAGGCTGGAGGTGCAGAACGACCAGGTGACGCTCTATCTGGACCAGGTGAGTGTGGGCGGCTCAGGGCTCCAGGGGGGCCTGGTGTGAATGGGGAGGGCGTGTCCTGCCCTGGCTCCACCCCCATTACAGTTGCTCTCGTGGGCTCTGTGTCACACGCACGGCGTGGGGTCACTGAAATCTCCCCTGGTTCAAGTGACCCGTTTCCATAAAGGACGGGGAGACGGGACCAGACTCAGCCAACCCCAGGGAGGGCCGTGAACTGAGCGACGGGGAGCTCAGGGTTGTGGAGGCTGGAGCTGGGCCCTGAGTGTGATGAAAGGGGTCACATTTTGCAGGGGGGTGAACAGGGATTCAGGGGGAGCCTTTTCTCACTGCTCCAGGCCGCAGGGGCAGAGGGAAGTGGGTTGGGCCAGTCCGAGCCTCGGAGAGGAGGGGGTTAGAGCTGCCAGTGCAGACATTCAGCCCAGGGGCTTGCTCTGTCGCTCTCTCGGTAGCTGACGAAGGAGGCGGCGAGTTTCACCTTCTCCCTGGAGCAGGATTTCCCTGTGAAGAATCTCAGAGCAGCCCCAGTGAGACTGTACGATTACTATGAGACGGGTGAGTCCCGCCCTGGTAGAGCTGCTCCCGCGGGCCCCATGCCGCAGTCTGTGGCTGCAGAGGGGGTGTCCTGTCCTGGCTCCACCCCAGTGCTCTGTGGCACACTCAGTGGCTGGGTGGGCATGTCCTATGCTGGCTCCACCCCCATTACAGCTGTTCTCGCGGGCTCTGTGTCACACTCAGTGCGTGGGATCACTGAAATCTCCCCAGGTTCCAAGTGCCCTATTTCCATAAATCCCACTCAGGTCAGAGCCTTCCCAGGTTAGATCTGTGGGGTCGGCTCACCGCGAGGGACACGGGAGCCGTGTGCTCACCTGGCTAGTGGGGAGGGTGTGGCTGGTGTAACTGGGGCCGTCCCAGCAGGAGCAGCTGAGTCCTGGCCCTTCAGGGCCCCTCACATTTAATGTGCCATTCCTTTCATCCCTTGCTTTTGCAGGTGAACACACGGAGGCTGAGTACAGCCCCCCCTGCGGCTCAGGTAGGTGTGATGTACCCACACACAACTCCAGTCCCTACAACTTTATGGGTGGAGGGAGTCCATGGGCGGGAGAGGTCTGTGTGTGTTGTAGATGGCAAAGGATGGGGAGATGGGAGCATGGAACCCACCAGGACCATGTGTGTGGGGGGAGAGACATCTGGGGAGAAGGGTCTATGTGGGGCACAAGGGAATCTCTCTTGAGGGCAGGGGGTGACTCTGAGGGGAGAGTCTTTGTGGGGGTTGGGAGAGTTCTGGGAGGTCCATGTCTACAGGTGTCTGCCAGGTGTGTGTGTGTGGGGGGGGGCTGATTTTGATCCTGTCTCAGGGAATGTTTGTGTTTGTTTAAAGCCCCTGATGTCGACAAGATGGAAAATTCCCGCTGAAGTCCCCGCCCCTGCTGGGCAGCCCCCTCCCATCCATCCCGAGAACGCCGCGCCAGCAACCAGACACCTCAGGATCAGGGCAGCACGGACAGGCCTCATCTCATCTGCTGCTCTTCCCCGTACCAGCTGCCCTATCCTCCTTAGCACCTTCTTCAGCCAACGCGTCCCACTTCGCTCTGCAAACTTCCCACTTGCTATCCCATCTCTCGGCCTCCAAACCAGCCCGTGTGATCCCAGCTGTCTGTCACACGCAGGGACCAGTGGCTGCAGTGGGGACCCCTGGGGTTTGCTGCCCGTCCTACCTGGAGCAGCAGGTTCAGTGTAAAACAAAATACAAAAACCCACCTCTTTGTGAGGCTGTTTTGTCGCTTTGTGCCTGCCCTGCTGCTGCTGCTCCTCGCACGGCTCCTGTGCATCCTCAGAGCAGCCAGATCCTGGGACCGTGGCTCTGTCCCCTTCCCCAGCCCTTCGGTCATTGCTGTGGGGTTTGGCTTTAACCCTGGGGAGGGCAGCCCCCCCCCCGGGTTCCAGCCCTGGCTCGCAGAGCTGCTCTTGTTACACACATCTACATGAAAATGAACCAATTCAACTGAAGTTAGTTTTTAAATCAGTTTACTTACACCAGTGAAAACCTCCGTGTGGATGCATTTATTATGGTGTGAAGGAGGGTTATTTTAGTTTAGGTTCAATCAATTAGGAATTGAAGTTAAACCAGAATCTACTCTTCTCTCAGACTGACAGAAGCACCTCTACCAGCTTGCATGGGTTGAACTAAATTGGTTTTCAAAGCCCAGGCCTAAGAGAGGGAGGAATAGCATGTCTGATGCCTTACTACTCTTGCTTGTTTTGTTACCATCTGTTTAATTCCAGGGACTAAGGAACACTGTGGGGAAAGGTGATCTCTGTGAAAGTCTATCCCCAGTCAAGCTAGGTGTGAGAGCCTAGTGTACATGCTCTGAGATACCCAGCCAGTCCTCCAGAGACCCCAGGGCAGACTAGACTTGACATTCCTGATACTTACAGGGTAAATAAGACGCAAGAAAAATAAATACATAGACCGTGCAGACCCTCCCTATCCATCGTAAAGAATCAAGAACTCTTTGTGGGTCCCCTTTAAAAGCGGGAAGCTCATTTTCTTTTGTGCAGATATTAAAGGCACCTGATTGAGTTTATAGCTGCAGGGGCTTTCCCCAGGGCCGGAGTGTGAAAGATTCACCAAAGAGTCACGATCACGAGCTCAGTCTCAATTGGAAAGGATGGCACAAATATATCCCAGAGGGCTGCATGTGCCTGTCTAAGGGGGAAAGAGAACTGGACTTTAATATTTGGGGAATAGGATGTGCTCCCATATTGAAAGACGGTATTGTCTTGTGTACAGGCAGGGGGCAGTCACAAAAAGGCATTTCTCCTTCTCTTTGCCTGGGCCTGGCTTCTGTAAGGATAAGGTTACACTAACAGAGCTGGTGGTATTTAATTCCTGCTGCCTGTGACGTTTGTAGGGGGAGCTCGTAGCAGCCCCTCTATTTAGGCTGCCATGATAAAATAGGTTTCAGAGTAACAGCCGTGTTAGTCTGTCTTCGCAAAAAGAAAAGGAGTGCTTGTGGCACCTTAGAGACTAACCAATTTCTTTGAGCATGAGCTTTCGTGAGCTACAGCTCACTTCATCGGATGCATACTGTGGAAACTGCAGAAGACATTATATACACACAGAGACCATGAAACAATACCTCCTCCCACCCAGGACAGTGGAGGTATTGTTTCATGGTCTCTGTGTGTATATAATGTCTTCTGCAGTTTCCACGGTATGCATCCGATGAAGTGAGCTGTAGCTCACGAAAGCGCATGCTCAAATAAATTGGTTAGTCTCTAAGGTGCCACAAGTACTCCTTTTCTTTTCATGATAAAATAGTCTCTCTTTGAGATGCTCTCACCCCGTCATTGTTTGCTGTGGGTCTTTGATATTCAGCCCTCAGGCTGGAGAATTGGCTTTTCTTTGTGCCATCAGATTCCATTCAGATATTGCATAGATAGGAACCCCAGGGTTTCTACCTTTTTTTCATTTGTGGACCCCTAAAACATTTCCAGTGGAGGTGCTGACCCCCTTGGAAATCTTAGAGTTTGCGGACTCCCAGGGGGCTGCAGACCACAGGCTGAAAACCACTGTTCTGTGGGAATGACGGCCTTTCGCGAACTCCTTAAACATAGTTTGCCAACCCCCGTTTGTCCTTGGGCCACAGCTGGAGAACCACTGACATAAACTGTTCAGAACAATCCCCATTTCCCCTCCGGCACTTGTGCTTCTGCCAGAATATCACTGATCTCGAACCTTCCACAGAGCCGCCTCCTGCTGCCCCCACCAAAGCAGCAGCGCCAGCTCCTGTCCTGGAAACAAGTGGGAGCTGCTCTAGCAAGAGGGGTGGGCTTCCCTCACTGGGCACAGAACATGGCTCTAGTGGCCCCTGGCACCTCTGGGCGATCACGTGGAGCAGGACCTCCATCCCACCCAGCCCACAGAGCCGAACAGCCCATCACCCATCCAGGACAACAACCTGGTCCTGCTGCAACTGAACAGAATGCTGTGGCTCAAGTAGTAGCAGCCCGGGCTGAAGGCTCAAACACACGGAGGGAGGTGCATGCTTAGCAAATATTGGACGCCCAAGCAGTGTGGGAAGCCCTGCGGTGGGAAGCCTGGAGACTGAATTCAGTTGTGAATGTCTCAGACCCAGGGCTGGCTCAGCACAACTGGAGCCTTGGAGATGCAGCTGAAAACCGCAGAGCAGATCAAATGGAGACAGCGCAAGAGAGAAGTGGGTCCCTGCGCAGCCCGCGTGGGCTTAGATCCCACCAGCTCTGCTTTCCCTTTATGGGGACCCTCTGCACCAACTGTGGCTCCCCCCCGGGGGCTGTCTCGGGATGCCCAGCTGTGACCGAGGGCAGAATTGGGCTCTGTGATGCCAGGACTGGCCATGACCGAGATCTGAGCCATTCCATGGACGCCAATATAAGGGATACGGACCCCAGGCCTGATGCCTGATGCTCACCCGCTTCCTGAATCACTCTCCCCTGGACAGTGGCCTCCCACCCCACCCCCAGCTTCACCAGCCCCAAAGGGCCCTGTTTGCCTGGTGGGACTGAAATCCAGGTGACTTTTCAACCATCCCAGAGGTCAGGTAAATATTTGAGGATAAACCAGCAAGGGGCAGTGACCTGGGGCCAGATCTCTGCATCCCTGGAGCTGGCAGAGAGCCAGGGCAAGCAGGCAGCAGCCTCACTGTGTAGCAGTGGTGAGCTGGAGCGGGTTCACACCGGTTCACTGGAGCGGGTTGTTAAATTTAGAAGCCCTTTTAGAACTGGGTGTCCTGCGAGGGACAACTGGTTCTAAAAGGGCTTCTAAATTTAACAACTGGCCAAAAGTGGCGCCTTAGGCACCGACTCCGTGGGTGCTCCGGGGCTGGGGCACCCACGGGGAAAATCTGGTGGGTGCAGAGCACCCACCGGCAGCTCCCCACCCTGTGCCTGGCCCCAGCTCACCTCTGCTCCACCTCCTCCCCTGAAGGCCCCCCCCCAGCTTCCCGCAAATCAGCTGTTCGTGCAGGAAGCCGGGGAGGGCTGAGAAGCAGACAGTGGCTTTGGGCTCAGGCCCAGGGAGGTGGAGCGGAGGTGAGCTGGGGTGGGGGTGGGGCGTGAGGAGGGCCGCCCGTGCCGCAGCAGGTAACCCGGGGGGGGGGGGCACAGGGGAACTGCGCCCCACCCCTGCTCACCTCCACCTCCCTGGGCCTGAGCGGGAAGCCGCCCCCTGCTTCTCAGCCCTCCCAGGCTTCCCATGCGAACAGCTGATTCGCGGGAAGCCGGGGCCGGGGGGTGGACAAGAAGAGCAGGGCGGCGCGTTCAGGGGAGGAGGCAGAGGTGAGGTGAGCTGGGTCCGGGCGCGGGGTGGGGAGCTGCCGGTGGGTGCTCTGCACCCACAAAATTTTCCCCATGGGGGCTCCAGCCCCAGAGCACCCAGGGAGTCGGTGTCTAAGGCACCACTTTTGATGTGATCAGTGGTGGGAGCGGCCGCTCCCCCCCAGCTACGCTCCCCCGCCCCTAGGAGCCAGAGGGACCTGCCAGATCCTTCCTGGGAGCTGCTCCAGGTAAGAACCGCCAGGAATCCCCACCTTGCCCCCTGGCAGGTCCCTCTGGCTCTTAGGGGCGGGATGGGCACCCACTACAGTGGCCCACAAGACCCTCCTGCCCGGTTCTGGGGGCATTTAGGGGACAGGGGAGGGGGGGTGGATGGGGCAGGGGTCCTGGTGGAGGGGGGCATCAAGGAACGCAGGGGATTTGATGGGGCAGGAGTCCCGGGGGGGGCGGGAGTGGGCCACGACCCCTTCGTGGGGTGAGGAGGGAACCCATTGTTAAGATTTTGGCAGCTCATCACTGCTGTGTAGGTGTCTGCAGTGGTGGGGGAGGGGAGCTGACAGAACAACCCTCTCCCCTCCCCCTCTTCCCAAACCCAGAGCTCCCCTGTGAGTCTCCCTACAGGTCAGGACCCAGCCAGTCCCAATGATCGTATATTCAATGTGGATGGAAGAGACCTGGGCTGAAGCGTGCTCAGCGTGCTCAGCGCAGATGCAATGTAGCAAGACAAATATTCATAGCTTGATAGATTCCAAGGCCAGAAGAGAACATTGTGATTGTCTAGTCAGACCTCTTGTATAACCCAGGCCAGGGAATTTCCCAAATATAATTCCTAGAGCAGATCTTTTAGAAAAGCATCTCATCTTGACTTAAAAATTACCTTCACTGTTAAAAATGTACACTATATTTCCAATCTCGATTTGTCTAGCTTCAACTTCCAGCTATTGGATCATGTTATACCTTTCTCTGCTAAATTAAAGAGCCTGTTATCCAATATTTGTCCCCCATGTAGGTACATATAGACTGTAACCATATCACCCTTTAGCCCATCTCTGTGCTAAGCTAATAAATTCAGCTCTTGAAGATATCACTATAACCCATGTTTCCAATCCGTTAGTCATTCTCGTGGCTCTTCTCTGAACCCTCTCCAATTTATCAAATCCTTCTTGAATGACGGACACTGGAACTGGACACAGGATTCCAGCTGCAGTCGCACCAGTGCCAGATACTGTACAGAGATAAGATCACCTCTCTGCTCCTACTCCAGATTCCCCTGTTTATGCATCCAAGGATCTTATTAACCCTTTTGGCCACAGCATCACATTGGGAGGCCATGTTCAGCTGATCCACACACTCTTCCCAAACTTTTTCAGTCATCGCTTCCCAGAGCAGAGTCCCCAATCCTGTAAGTATGGCCTACATGCTTTGTTCCTAGATGTGTACATTTACACTGAGCTACACTGAAACACATATTGTTTGCCTGTGCCCAGCTTACCAAGTTATCCATAGAACCCTGTATCAGTGACCTGTCATCTTCGTTATTTAACACTCCTCCAATTTTTGTGTTGTCTGCAGTCTTTATCACTGATGATTTTAAGTTTTCTTCCAGGTCATTGATAAAAATGTTAAATAGCACAGAACCAAGAACTGATCCCTATGCAACCCCCTCGATCAATGATGATTCCCCATTTACAGTTACATTTTGAGACCTATCAGCCAGTTTTTAATCCATTTAATGTGTGCTGTATTACTTTGTATCATTCTAGTTTTTTAATCAAAATGTCATGTGGTATTAAGTCAAACACTTCACAGAAATCTTAGTAAATTACATTGACATTATTACCTTTATCTACTAAATTTATAATCTCATCAAAAAAAGATATCAAATTAGTTTGACAGGATCTGATTTCCATAAACCATTGCTAATTGGCATTAATCATGAGAGTCTCTTCTAATTCTTTATTAATGAAGTCCCGTATCAGCCACTCCATTATTGTGCCTGGGATCCATGTCAGACTGACAGGCCACTAATTATCCAGGTCATCCCATTTACCATTTAAAGTATTGGCACAATATAAGCTTTCTTCCAGTCTTCTGCAACTTCACCATTAACAGTCGAGCGAGCTCCTCAGCCAGCTCTTTTAAAACTCTTGGATATAAGTTATCTGGAGCTGCTGATTTTAAAATGTCTCACTTTGGTAGCTGCTGTTTAACATTCTCCCCAGATACTAGTGGAATGGAACAACTTCAACTGTTTTTTTCCCAAATGCAAAACAAAAATATTTATTGAACCTTTCTGCCTTTTCAGCATTCAGGCATGGGGGATGCTTCCTAAATTGGGGGGGACACCAGCACTGAACTATGCCCCCCCACCGCCCCTTCCCCTCAGGCCCTGCCCCCACACTGCCCCTTCTCCCCAAGCTCCCACCCTCACACCACTCCGCTCATTCCATCCGAGGTGCCACCCCCACACCACCTCTTCCGCCAAGGACCTGACCCAATGCCACCTCTTCCCCTCAGATTTCTGAACGTAATAGAGCCAAGGCCTGCTGTCCCTCCCCCGCCCCTGTTCCGGCTTCCCGTCTGCATTATTATTGATAATTCTGCCACTTGATTTGATAATGGATCAGTACCACTGTTAATATTCATTTTGTTCCTAATATACTTTAAAAGATCCCTCTTACTGTCCTTAACTTGGCTGGCCATAGATTTCTTCATGTGTCATTTTACTTCCCTTATCAATTTTCTATAGTCCTCATTTATATTCATTTCTGTCAACTTCTCCTTTCTTCCCTTTGATATACATCATTTTTAAAAATATTTTATAGTTGCTTTCATTTGCCCTCTGAGCCAGGTCAGTTTTTTAACCAGTTTGATTGGTTGTGGCTTTTGGGACATCTAGTAAAGTGTTCTTAAATAATTCACAATTATTATTCACATTTTTCTGATTAAATTCTTCTTCCCAGCTGGTTTGGCTCATAATTGTTTTCAGCTTTGTGAAACAGGCCCTTTCAAAGCACCGAGTGGAAATATTACTGGTCTGGACGTTACTCTTTTGGCACATTATAAATGTGATCGAGTCAGGATCACCTGTACCTAGGCTACCGTTCATGTTTAGTTCTGTGATCAGTTCCTCTTAGCTCATACAGAACACTCCCAGGGGGCTGGAACACTTTTTGAGATAGGAAAATATATAAGAAATTCCAAAGACATTTTAGTACTGGCAGCACCAGACTGCCAGCATGTGTCACTCACATTGAAATCCCCCATGATCACACAGCTTTTTTTCCCTACATTCTATAAATAGCCGCATAAGGAGCCACTGATCCTGTTCCTTAGTGTGATTTGGTGATCTGCCCCAGACACCAGCTAACTGCAACCCCCCCTCCCATCTTGTGCTGTATCGGTTAGGACAGTGATCCATAACCATTCAAGATCATTTTCTACCAAGTTGTCAGTGACTGAGACACTCTACTGACCAGGTCCAAACGGCAATGTTCTATACTTTATAACCTAGCCACATCGACGTGGATTTTCATGGCAACAGGAAAAACCCTTTTCTTCCCCTAGAACGGGGTGGCCAACCTGGGGCTCCGTATCCACATGCGGCTCTGCAGAAGTTAATCTGCGGCTCCTTGTATTGGCACCAACTCTGGGGCTGGAGCTACAGGCACCAACCGTCCAATGTGCCGGAGGATTCTCGCTGCTCAACCCAGGACCGGCCCACAACATTTTGGCACCTGAGGCGGGGAGCTCAGATGACCCCCCCATGCCCCCTGGCTTGGGCCAAAACTTTGAAAGGTCTCAATTCTGCCTTCTTCCTGTTCTAATCCTCTCATGGTACTGCTCTGCTGTCTACCCCAATAAAGGAGAACTAACAACTTAAAATGCCATGTTCAAAAATTTT